GTTATCACCCCCACTAGTCAGGCCAACAACAACAACGACGAAGCCAAAATCCGCCCCTTACTAACTTTACTCTTCTTTTACACTACACTACGGGCAAGGCAATGCAACTTTTTTTCCAGTGATACTCGGCTGATAATAATAATATATCAGAGCAATATAGCACTATCATGCAAATCGTAACATAGACAAATACAAAGGAATAAATGTATTAGGAATAGAATAACATCTTCAGTCAATTATAAACATTGTCTGTTTTACGTATTTCATACCAAAATATCTTGACCTCAACGTCACCACATTGTTGCATACAAAAAAATGAGTTAAAAAAGTAACACATGTCTGAAGGTTTCTATATTATCAAATTCTGCAAATTTTTGATCGAGCTTAACTAATTCATATCTCAACTTATTCTCGTATCTTTTTAATGTATTCTTATCCCTAGAAAAAAAGCACATTCTGAATGTCTCTGTTCCTTGCCTCGATTTACGAATCTCACTTGTATTACCCTCCAGTCTAGTTTTCAGATATTTTAACACAACAAATAATCCAATTTTCATCTGGTCTGCATTCATCATGCATTGACCAAATGACGTATGCAAGTGTTCTTCTAGATCACTTGAATGGGTAAAACACTTCTTGCACTGTTTGCACTGAAAACTCTTCAGTCCTGTATGTGTAAGCATGTGCTGTTTTAGATTACCAGAGCGAGTAAAACATTTCTTGCATTGCTTGCACTGAAATGGCTTCAATCCTGCATGTGTAAGCATGTGCCTTTTTAGACTACCAGACTGAGTAAAACATGTTGCGCATTGCTTGCACTGAAATGGCTTCAACCTTGAATGTTTAACCATGTGCTGTTTTAGATAGCGAGACTGAGTAAAGCACTTCTCACACTGCTTGCACTGAAATGGCTTCAACCTTGCATGTGTAAGCATGTGCTGTTTCAGATTACCAGATTGAGTAAAACACTTCTTGCATTGCTTGCACTGAAATGGCTTCAATCCAGCATGTGTAAGCATGTGCATTTTTAGACTACCAGACTGAGTAAAACATTTTGCGCATTTCTTGCACTGAAATGGCTTCAATCCTGCATGAGTAAGCATATGCTTTTTTAGATTACCAGCCCCAGTAAAGCACTTCTCGCATTGCTTGCACTGAAATGGCTTCAACCCTGTATGTTTGACCATGTGCTGTTTTACATTTCCAGACTGAGTAAAACCTTTCCCGCATAGCTTGCACTGAAAGGGCTTCAACCCTGAATGTTTAACCATGTGCTGTTTTAGATTGCTAGAATATGCAAAACCTTTCCCGCATTGCTTGCACTGAAATGGCCTCAACCCTGTATGTTTATGCATGTGAATTTTTAGACTACTAGACTGATTAAAACATTTTGCGCATTGCTTGCACTGAAAGGGCTTCAACCCTGTATGTATCAGCATGTGTCTTTTTAGATCAACGGACCGAGTAAAACGCTTTTCGCATTGCTTGCACTGGAACTCTTTCTTCTTGAGTTGCACATCTTCAGGGTCTGAGTTGACTTCCACATCACCTCTACTTTTAGTTCGATTTTCATGCATTGTATTTACTTAATTATTCATATTTATAAACAATTAAGGAAGAAGTCTCAGTTCTCTTAATCCGCAACTCAATTAAAAGTGATGAGGCAATCTTCAATACATTGGCAGAATCCTTAGATTATACCTGCAAAATAACAAATCAAATCTGAGACTCGTGTGTATAATTATAATAAGAAAGTCCAATATATCACAGTATTTTTACAGTATGAGCAGCCTAGTTAGCTAAACCGATGAATAGTTTACTATAGTATACCACCTTTGTATGTCTGTATATAGAACACATCTGTGATATATCGACCATCTAGAAACTTAAATTATGTATTTTAGTTGAAAATTTACCTTCGTGATTTCTATGAAATATTAGTGAAATTATCTACCAAATTACTTGTTGCTGACATTTTCCCAAATGACGGGGTAGCAAGTTTAGTAATACCCCTTCATCAGAATAACGTTGCTGTTATTGTTGGGTCAAATATTCTCATGCGATGTTTACAATAGATTAAACACCTGGGTTTAGAACAATTGTCCTTTAAATGAAAATCAAGCTGGGTTTCGCAAATCATATAGTATATTGAAAAGGGTGTTCGTTCGCTTTAACCATTATTTCTTAATCTACACGCTGTTTAGTGTGGTCTCCAAAGCATTTTATTCAAACTTTACAGTACATACACAGCAGTCAAATGGAATCGCGGATGTATTTAAATGCTTATGCGAGGTTCATCAAGGTTCCATTTGCTCCTTTATTATTTGTATTATTTATTAATGAGCTCAGAGGGTATTTTCAGCAACGACTCTATATGTTGGTTCGCTAAAAATATTTTACTTACTATATGTGAATGATTTGATTTTGTTTTGATCCAATCCTTAATGGAAACTTGAAGTAAATGCAAATAAAACTACAATTGTAGTCTTCAGGAAAGCGGTACCTTGAGAAAATATAAGACAGGGTGATGTAATGAACAAACACTCAAATCTGTATCTTCTTTTACTGACTTTGGTATCACGTTTTTCTCTACTGGACGTTGGTTTATAGCTCAACAAACCTTGCTAAATAAGCATACAAAGGAATGTTTGCTGTAAAACGTATTTTAACTAAATTTAGTTTAATTGACGTACAAGTGTATTTTTTGTTATTGTTGAGTAATATATATTCATGTATGGGAGTAAATTTTGAAGGTTTGATTTAGCAGGAATGTCAAAAAGGCGCATCGGAGATGTCTTCCAATACACAAAACCCTGTTATTTATGGAGAGTTGGGAAGACTTATCAGGTTTTGGTTAAGAATTTTATATATTGTTTGCTTTGCACAACATGTCCTGTTATGGCATAATTCCAGAAGACATACCAACACTTCATGCAATTTGTTTTAATGATGCTAATTTATTCATGACGTCGTAGTGTCTGCGCTCATGGATATTCATTATTATGTGGTTCAATACATTCTAAATAGGGCGATATATTATATAAGGCGGCAAGAGTTATAAATGGGGAATTAGCAATCCTTAGTCACTGTCTTGTCCACTGTACCACGAGGGTCTTCACACAAGTAAAAGGATTTAAGTTACATTTATAGGAGAACAGTTCTAAATAGTATTTACGAATCCCACTGTGAGAAACAACAGGCAGGGATGGGTTTTAAACACGGGTCTTCATGATATTTATGTAGACAAGTGACACACAACATCCCAATGGACTGACTGCTTGTGTTTGCATTTGATGAGACTATATAGTGTGTATATATAAAGATATACTACATATTTCCATTATTGAGTCACAAATTTCATTAATTTTGCCAATTTAGTGTTTTCTCCTTGTGTAAACTATATGTATGCCGTTATTGTACACCTTTAGTCCCAACAAAGTTGATGTTTTGCCATTTGCGTTGACCATATCTGACCAAACGTTTAATTAATTTCTACCATCACAAGTTTTTCAATTAAAGCGGGAGGGGTCTTCACCTGCGCACGCGCGGGAATTGAGTGACGTCTATTTGAAACGATCGCCTTGGTTGTAGTGAGTATATATCTAGAAGGATTCGAACCCTTGGCATTTGTATTAGGCGGTTTTTCATATCCCATGTTCGTTACGCCGTAATATGCGACCACTAACCCGTTTTATTGTGATCGTGTGAGTGTTTAATGAATGTCTTACTCACCCGTCACGCCATGACCCAGTTTCAATCACATGGACATGTTGGAACGAAGTGCGTGACCCTTGACCCAATGACTATATTATCGTTCTGTTCAACTGTTAAGCATGAATTTATTACCATTATATTGTCAAGTGATATGTCTTAAGTTTCTTTATTTTAATTTACGTATGCCAATGTGTATAGACCGAGCCAATGAGTCCGGTTGAATGTAGGTACGACTTCTGGAAGTGTGTCAAATTGCACGCCACTGGGACAATACACGCGATCTGTTCATACGTATGGTGTGCATACGTATTATTTGTACTTCACGAGATCAGCAACTCTACAAACATGAATGGCTGACGTGTACACTTTAATCACTTACCTCGCTCAGAGATTTCCCCTAATGTAACATCTGTTTCATGCAGTCAATCGTACAATGGCGGTGATCCCGTTGACCTCGAAGCAATGTCCTCAACGGAGACACTATTTTATTAACAATGAAATCGCCTACAGATGGCGCTCTTGATCGCAGGTGTGTGTCACAGGTCATCACGGGTTCATTCTGCAAGGGAATACCATTGAGACAGGTATTTACTGTACTATCGGTATTGTATCAAACTATTACCTGTGTTGTGTTTTTAAAGATCATGGTGACTGAATTGAGATGTTTGAATGTTATTTCTGTGAAAATGGCACCAACTCATTATAAAATAAATGAAAGAATCCGACGTTTTTGTACTGTTTTTACTACCGTTTCTATTTAATCTTGCATGTCTTTATTGTGAGAAAAACCTTATACTTTATTTGATATATAAATATATTTATTCAAAGCATAATTAATGATATTATTGTTGGAAACTGCATGTTGTGCCTGGGACTGTATTTGAATATTATTTGTATCAAATGTCGATAACGGCAGGTGAAAAGTGTGTACGCACTTATTCCCCGCTGTCAAGAAATACTGAGTGATATTTCAAAATCGTCACAGTTCTGTATTGACGGAGTT